GAGGCAATTAGAAAAGAAAGTTACAGCGGGGCATTAGCCGCGCGGAAATTCAGACCGCGAATATTATTCGACGCGCCTCGCCTCGCCCCGCCTCGCCGCGCCGCGCGCGTAACTTTGACACTTAATCACACTTTTAATTGGACGGTCGCGCTCTTACATGTGAACACCGCGACGACGAATTCGTAAGATGAGAATTGGATACAGGCGCTCGGCAAGTTTCCGCGTTCGCCGAGACACCGCAATTTTCAGATTCCGCCGCCGGAACTACGCGGAGAATCGCATACGGAAATTAACGTACGTTCTTTCTTATGCTACGATTTCTTATATTTCTTCCCTGGTATTCCGGGCTTTTAACAACAGAAACTTCATCGGATAATGTCCGAGATTTACACGGCGAGAAAACAAATTTTGATGAGAGAAATTGTTTAATTCATTTGTGTCCTTAACGATCGCGTCTGCGAACCAATTTAACCCCTTGACGTAGCATCTTCTTCGCAGTTGCTGCGACTAGAAATTCTCCGATTGCAATGATTTCTTGGAAGGGGAAGAAAATTGATGCTTACCGTGTGCCTAAATTTACTCGTATGCTTGAATATCGATGATTATATAATTTTATATTATCATTATCAATTTAAAAGGAGTTAAAAAATTGATAATAATAATATAAAATCATATTATCATCGATATTCAAGCATACGAGTAAATTTAGGCACACGGTAAGCATCAATTTTCTTCCCCTTCCAAGAAATCATTGCAATCGGAGAATTCCAATTGGAATAAATATTCCAATTTAAAAAGAGTCAAAAAATTGCTCGAGAAGGCTGCATCGTTCCAGCGTTAACAATCTCGCAAGAACGTCGCTGCATTACTTTGCAGCAATTAAGAAATTGCCGATAAACCGTCTAATTATTTTCAAATGCTCGCGTCTACGTCTAGAAAGCCATCTCTCGCGGCGGGCTAGGAACGATGCGTCGTCGCGAGATTAAAGAAAAGGCCGGAACAGCGTCGAGCCGCAACAGTTGACTCATAATTCGCGGATTACTCGAATTTAACCCGTGCCGGGGTATTTATATAGGACGTTCGGGAGTAGGTCCTGTTTCTAACGAGCTGACTCAGCCGAACCTTGTCGGTTCCATCGGCTGAGAAATCTCGGATTAGAACGCCCCGCGCTTCTGAAATCGCGTCGCCTCGCGTCGCGGTGCAACGACCAAAGTGCACGCCGTGACACGGCCGAAGTTAACGCCGCGTTCACACGACCGCGCGCTGCCATGCCGCCACCATGCCACCACCGAAACGATCGATAAATATGATCGCGGTAGAATGCCGTGGCGCAATGGCCGCCCTCCTGCCTTCTCCTGAGATCGCAACGGGTCCCCAGATGCGAGATTAGCGCCACCAAATCGTTCCTTTCCACGCGATCTCGACCGTTCCGAGGGGAACGTTACGCTTCACACCCCCGGCTGGATATGTTTACCCTGCCCTTTTTCACGATCCTCGGCCGCCCACTTGCCCCGTTTCACGAGCTCTGGCCATCTTCGATCCGATCCTTTCAATTACGCTCCGAATTCCTCGGACGGTCCTCCGGGATTCGACGATTATTTGACATTTCTTTTGCAACGTGCTCTCCGCAGAAGATTCTACAGACGTTTGTTCGATACTTGTAATACCGGGATTATTGCTTCGACAGCTATGTTAATTATTAACCCTTTCGCTACTACGGGCCACTATAGTGGCCCTCCATAAGATGTCACTGAGGTACTACGGGCCACTATAGTGGCCCGTAGTACCTCAGTGGCATCATACGAAAGGCCACTATAGTGGCCCGTAGTACCTCAGTGGCATCATACGAAAGGCCACTATAGTGGCCCTCCATAAGATGTCACTGAGGTACTACGGGCCTCTATAGTGGCCTTCCATAAGATGCATTATATTGCATAATGTTATTTCCTCTCATACTGTAAATTAAAGAGCGCATGCTAAGACGTTATAAATACCCTGGAATACTCTTTATTTATAAATACCCTTTGGAGAGAAATTTTTTCGTACGAAAACATTCAAGCAGCTTGGGTTCTCCGCCGCGGTACTCCCGCTGACGATCGGCGTCGCGTAGCGTGCAGTGATGTCGCGGCGCTCCGTTCAGCGGAAGTACCGCGGTGGAGAACCCGCCCGTAGCGAAAGGGTTAACTAAAGGAACCTTTTTTTTTTAGCCTTTTATAGCTTCGATTCTAAATATTGAACGTAACGTGCTATTCTAACACCATGTCTGCGCGAAGAATTGCGCTCTAGGACGCATCCACTCGGTGTTCTAAAAATTTCGCAATTGAAAATCAATTCGAATGGTCCCAAATGAGAATTAATTCGAACAGCCACGATTTTGAGAATCAATTCAAACGGTCCACCGCGTTTATTTGTGCATACAAATGCGCAAAATGAAGATCCGGGCAATCGTCCTCTCCACCCCTAATCGCGGTAAGATCGCGACGAGCGTCTCGGTGGCATCGCTCGCATCGTACTTAGACGAAAATATCTTCAAATTGCATCCCTGTTTGTCGTTCGAAACCGCGGGACCGTTCGGAGGCGTTTAGCCCCGGTTCAACCCTTAAATCGTTATCATCGTCCGGAATTTATTCATCCCATAAATTATGTATCCGCGAACTTTCCGCCGACTCATCATCCTCCGCAACCCCGTTCCAGCTTGGTACTCTACATTTAATCCTATTACATTCGAACGAATACAAGTAGACTATATTTCGTTTAATTCTACGGCACGCTAAATCTTCTGGTGTTCTACCGTCAACGGTAATCTCGTTTGTTACGTACACACTTACTCTTACGTGCCCGGCCGTGGAGCGCGCCTGACATTTTTAAGTGACCGTTTTCTACACGTCGTAATCTCCGCCGACGTTTCCGTTGCAATATTTTGCGCTGGCGTTTAACTCAAACATCGCGGCGCGCGTTTCAGAACGATGGAGCCATTTTGCAAGACGACGATTTTTCCCGCAAGTTCGCCGCCGTTCAGAGAAGCGTAATACTCTGTTCGAATGTTTATTATTTATTATATTGTTATATTATACTGTATTATATTATATTATATCGGTATAGATTGTAATATATTATTATATTATATTATTATAGGTTATAACATATTATTATATTATGTTATTATGGATTGTAATATATTATTATATTATATTATTATAGATTGTAATATATTATTATATTATATTATTATAGATTATAACATATTATTATATTATATCATTGTAGATTGTAATATATTATTATATTATTTTATTATAGATTATAACATATTATTATATTGTATTATTATAGATTGTAATATGTTATTATATTATATATTATTATATTATATTATTATAGATTATAATATATTATATATATTATATTATATGCTAGATATTATATTATTTATCATACTATTTTACACAAACAAGCTAAAATCGACGATGGTACAACCGCGAACAATAACATCGAAACGAGCAACGCTTGCTAATTAATTTAATTCGTTTGGAAACAACGAGGTTGCAGCACCGTACGGATTCTGGGCCTCAAAGAGTCCCTAAAGGACGACACACGCGTCCGTCTCTAAAACCCAAGCCCGACATAACAAGGGACACCCCAGTCCGTGCTCCTAGATAACGCGAGCGAATCAGTCAACGTCTTGAACTTAGGGCAGTATCAAAGAGCACAAACGGGAACCTAAACACGGGATCCCTTTCAGATCCCATGGAGAAACTGAAAGACGATATAATACCTAGACGAAATTTAGCGCCGGTAACAGAATATCGGGGAACATCGCAGTCGGCCCCCTCGGGTAGCGCGAGTAGCCAAACCCACTTTGGTCAATATCTTCGACTCGGATAGCATCGAGTAGCTGGGATAGCTGCTTGAACTCGTTGCGAACACTCTGAAGGACGGTCTCGAGCTGCGAACATCTTTGGATCCCCGGATCTGGCGTCTCGACGCCGTATAGGATCGTCGAGAGACACGAACGTAAAAGCAAGTTTCTTCTTTCGGAGTAAATAACTTCCGATAACTTGAACGGAGTTGAAAATAATAAAATAACTAACTGAAAATAATAAATAAACTACCAAACCAGTCGGAATGACCAGCCTCTAATTTTTTTTCTTCACGATTCCTGACATTATAAAAATATTTCAATGAGAAATTGTTCAGACAGACTTCTTTATCCAAGCATACGTTATAATAGAAATCCTACAGAGAGTTCAAGTAATAATCCTCGCTGTTATAAAACAATATACAGTAATGTTTCCCTAACCGACGCTCAGATTGTGCACAAAAATAGACAATTTAGGAAGAGGAGATTATTCGAGCCTTGCGGCCCGGCATTGTAATTACAGATTATCGACAACTATAAGAACGATCCGCAAGGCTCGAATAATCGTATCTCCTCTTCCCAAATTATCCATTTTAGTGGACAATCTGAGCGTCAATTAGGGAGAATTTACTGTACATCCGTTGCGATTATAGCACGGCAGTTCTGGCGTTAAATTCTCTCGACGCGTCTGCCATTTGAGATCGCAAGCTGCTCGATTTTTCCGCAAACGCGGTCCGCTCGTGGCTCGCGCAGCATCGAAGGGCAACGAAAGTCGCAGAAACGGACGACTCGTTTCGATCACCGTCGGAGAAGCGGAACGACGAATCGTGGATCCGATTGTCTTTCGAACGTCGGCTCTAGCGCCTCCAGATACTCTAAACCCGGCTCCCGCGGTGGCAATCGGTTCAGCTTCGCGGAGCATATCAGCTCCAAGCTGATCCTTACGCGCTGATCTTAGCCAAGAGAGAGAGAGAAACGCGACCGGCGCTCTCGTCTCTAGAGTGAAGATCGTCGAAATACGGCTAGGCGCAAAAGATGCCGGGCCGAGGAGTAGTGTTCTGGCAGCTACGAAAGAGGGCCGGCGACCTTGGCCGGCGATTACGGCTCGATAGAAGGCAGAAGAAGGGCTGGTGGTACTCACCGGACTCCGAGACGGATGATGGACTGCCCGTAGACCTGTCGGAGTTCCTGGAGCTGGCCGTGGAGCTGGTGGAAGAGGCCGTGCCGAGCGAGCACTCGGATACGCTGCGCCGTTTCGAGAGGAGGGCCGCGGCGGCGGCGGCGGTCCCGGGCCCACAGGACGAGCCGGTCGGCGCGCTCGAGCTCAGCCCGTGGAGCCCGTGGAGCTCGTGGAGCCCGTGCAGGCCCGTCTGACTCGTCAGCTGCTCCAGCCGTCGCCTGAGGAACCTCTGCTCGCGAGACAGCTGTTCCTTGTGCACGGCGTGCTTGCGCTCCCGCTCCTCCAGGTTCTGCAACACCGAACGGACCCCGCCGATTAGACAACCTGCACACGCACCCACACACGTGCACGCATGCACACGCACGCACGCGACACGCACGCACGAACACCGGCAAACGGCCGCAGCCGACGGCTACTACGCCGAGTTGCACACCGGTGTCCCTGTGCACTGTACGCTGCACGCTGCACGCCGTACGCCTGCACGGCACACGCGATGCAACGCATCGTCGTCCTACGGCGGATCGATACCACGGCTGGGAATCCTGTGCACTGTACGGTCCAGGCGAACGCCTGGGGCTCTGGGATACACGCGGCCCAGGGAATCCGTGTCCGGCTCGGCCCGACGGGGATTTCGAGATCGGATTCTTTCCTGCCTCGCCAAAACCGGCCGTCTACCAGCCCCGGGCCCCGGGACCCCGGAGCTACGGATTCCAAGGGTACTGGGTGGCCGCGAAGTCAAGCGGGACAACGCCTGATTGTTCTACGTGTACGATCCGCGTTGGGAGTCGATGGAAAGGGCGCGACGGTAGTCTCGTTTGACTCGTCGATTTTGAGATCGTGGCTTTGGCGTAGGCTGGATGCACTCGATCGGAATTGTCGACGTGATCGGAGAAGGAATCGGAGAAAGTATAGTAGATGAGGTGTATACAGTAATGTTTATCTAATTGACGCTCAGATTGACCACAAGAAGGGACAATATGGGAAGAGGAGATACGATTATTCGAGCCTTGCGGTTTATTTTATTATATATATATTTTTTTATATATTATTTTATATATTATATATTATATATTATATATATTTTTTTGTTATAAATTGTCCACAATTATAAAAACGAGCCGCGAGGCCATTTTAGTGGACAATCTGAGCGTCAGTAAGGGAGACATTACTGTGGGAAATAATATTGCATTAGACAAATTTTAACTGGTCTTTTTTCCAAAGGTTGTATCTCGAGAAGAAACCTCGAGGTCTCGCGTGCTTTCGATGATATTTTGACCTCGAAATCGATGGAAGAGTAACCGCAATTTCTTAAGAGCGCGTAACTCTCGTCAGTTTTAACTTTCTGGTTTCAGAGTTCCATCGATCGAATCGCTTCGACTTCGAGAGAATTTTTCGGATCGATTGTCGGCGCGTTACCTTCGATCGTGTTCGATCGTTCGTTCGATCGTGTCGGAATACGAACGATAAAACTGACGGAAATCCTGGCGTCGTTCCGAGTCTCGCGCATCGGATTCTCGTGCACCGGCGGAAAAAAGGGGCCTCGAGGATTACCAAAACGAAATCAACGTCTCCCCAGTCGCCGATACCATAAATTAACGTGGCGCGCTTTAGCGGATCAACCGGCAAACGGACTTTCACTCGTTCGGATCGCCGAAGGCCGATCGGCTCGCGGATTTTTGCGAAATAACTTTCGTATAAATTCGATGTCGGCCGGGGCGGATTACCGGTCGTTTAATCTTCGACGTTTAATCCGCTCGACCCCTTTGATCCGTTCGGCTCGAACGCTGAAAAACAGATCGGGGTAATTCAGTCCGCGCGGCAAAGCCGACCGAATCAAGGATTTCTTAATGCGTTTATGTTAAATTATGCGAGGGAGAGAGAGAGAGAGAGAGAGGGGGGCGAGAGGGAAGGAGGCTTTCGAATTATGGAATCCGATGTTAACCGCGGCACAACAGAGAGAGAGAGAGAAAGAGAGGGGGGAGGGAGGGAGAGACAGAGAGCTTTTCCTTCTGCCTTCGTTCACGTTGGCCGCCCTTGGAAATTAATTCGATCAACTCGGAACGTTTTACAGGGCAGGGAACCGGCGAAAAATTGCGGGATTACCGGGCGTAGCATGGCCGCCCGCGCGCGGATTACCGATGCCACGGCCCCGGATCCGCGGACTTCAACTTTAAATTATTTAACCCGGCTCTGCGAAACATTCGTTAGCCCCTGATGAGCCCGGAAATATTATTTTCCTCCGGCTTGCTTGAGAAAGTCCATCCTTTGTCCGACAGGGAACTTTTAAATCCTTCCGGCTGGACGAGTTTTAATTGCGAGTTGCCGTGATCGCGCGCTCGCGCGCACAAAATATAAACGCGCCGCGGAATAATGACTGTTGCATTATGCATTCGTGGTTAATGCCTTAATCCATTGTTCGACGCTTTTCCCAGTCGCGTCGAATTTCCGTGCTTAGAAACGTCCCCGAGCGCCACGGGGTGTGTGCGCGTCCGATATTAGAACGCGAGGTTCGCGTTCCAATTAGGCGAGCTCCAATCAGGCGTTGTCGTCGTTGGGCTCCGGATTTTTGCGCGGAATTAACATTGGTCCAAGTCCGTTGCAATTTTATCGAGTAATTTCTCCTAGAAATGCCAAGTCTCGGGACGCTGCGAATTTCGCTGTGTTAGTCCCACGCCTATGCAACGATCGCTTTCAATTCCGAACATTTCTGGGAGAAATTACTGCGATCGCGGACACGCTCGTCATAAATTCGTGGATAGCCTGTTCGTCCATGTTAAAAATTCACCGGTTTTAACGAAGTTCGGCGCGACATCGGTGGATAAAACAATAAAACAATAAAGGCTCGTTGGCCGCGTCTTCGAGGAATTGACCCCCGGATACTCCGTGAATTGAAGTTATACAACTGCACGGGCGAGCCACACGTTTCCAATAAGACGGATCGATGCGCTATGTTAATTAAGCGGGTGCCGATCACGAGTGTGGAGATAAAAATGTAACAAATAAATTCATAAATTGCTGGTCGTTCTTTTATAGAGCAACGCGCGTCGGTCGCTTCTACTTCTGCCACCGTAGCATTGGCAGAGCAGTTACACCATTCCTACATTTGACAAAATTAGCAACGTTTGATTGGATCGGACGAAGGTTAGGTCGTTTATGCGAGGGACCCGACGGCGAGAACAATTGCATAAGAGAAGGCTGGACGCTGCGGGGTCCGGCCCGTAGAGTGCGGCCAGCGTGATCGGAGGCCAGGTCCGACTAGATTCAATTAAAGAAGACACGACGTACCGTGCATCCGGAGTGATCGAGAGGTTGCGCGGTAATTAAGGCGACAGATCACGCGATCGTGAATTAAGAGAGCCGATCACGATCGTCGTTATTGATTCGTGTACGAATCGCGGGACATTCTTTCTCCCGTAAGCCCACGGCCACGGCACGGATCGAGAGCGCATCGATCTTCGACGGGTTCGTGTCTCGCCGCTAAACGAGCGACAATTTAAAAGAATTATCCAGCGCTGCTAAACGAATTATCCAATCCTTCGGAACCGATATTAATCCGGCCATTAAGCCGGAAAATGAAATTTAAGGTCCCGTTTTCGCCGCGGCGCGGTGTTGTCCCCGTTCGTTCGTTCGCCGTTACGTTATTCCGCTCGCGAGTCTTGCGTTACCTTTTTATTATCGGTGTAAGCGGATTTCATCCCGCGGAGGACGACGGCATTTTTTATCATTTATCGAGGGGATTGATTAACCGCGCGGCGAAACGATTATCGTTCCGTTTCACTTTTATTCTGTTATACCCGTTCGTAAAATCATTAGAAAAGTACCCGCTTCGCTGCTTTTCACTTTTACCGCTTGATATTCCTCGATTATCTCGTTTCCGCGCGAATCTCCGCCGTTCCCGACGCAACGAACGGACGAAGAATTCTCCGCTTTATCGGGCCGCACTATCTACATACAGGATGTCCCAAAAATGTCTCGCAATCCGAAAGTGGCGGGTTCCTCGGATCATTTGAAGCAACTTCTTCCTTTACAAAAATTTTCTCCGAGGCACCGTTAACGAGTTATTAACGAAAAACAGCGACCAATGAGAGGCGAGCTCGGCTGGCGCGAGGCGACCGAGCCAATGAGCGGAACTGGGCTTCGTGCGCTGGTTGGCTGGCCCGCCTCGCGTCAGCCGTACTCGATTCTTATTGGTCACTATTTTTCGTTAATAACTCGTTAACGGTGCCTCGGAGAACATTTTTGTAAAGGAAGAAGCTGCTTCAAATGATCCGAGGAACCCGCCATTTCCGGATTGCCAGACATTTTTGGGACACCCTGCATATCGATATAATCGGCATGGTATTCGCGGTCGTTGCGATAAACAGACTGCGGATTTGACGCAATTGCGCGAAAACGCGAGTGACTGGAACAGAGAAAACGGTAAAACGGAATGCTGTGAAATAACTTTCGACTCGTTCGAAATGTCAGAAATGAAAATTACTTTCCGCACAACTCCTGTATATTACAATCTCGCAATGAAATTTCGCGGCGGGACAATTTTCGTCGCGGTTTCAAATCGCCGAAAAATTGTCGCGATTCGAAAAACCTTGCATTCGAAAAGGAAACGCTCCGGTTTTCGCGGGTGAAATTGATCCGGAGGAGAGTTAGGGGAGGCCATGCAACACCATGTCGGCTGCAGATTGCTCCATCCAGGCCTCTCTCGTTTCGCAATTGGCCGATCCACGAAAGAGGAGGTCGACCAGTTCCGGTGTAGAAGGCCAAACGCGAAATAACCGAGAGCCGTCGATTGCAGCGTCGCGATTAGGCTTCCCATTGCGTCACCGACGCGGCAAGAAGTGGAGAACGCTGTTTTCTTTCTTCCGGCGCGTAATCGACGCGCATTTCGCTCCGCGCGCTCGCTGCTGAATTCACTTTAGCTCTTGAACGACTCTACATTTACATAGCACCGGCCGCGCTAGTAAGCAATCCCCCATTCTTCTTAAAAACCCGGCAACGTGCTTTACATTTTAATTCTGCCGCACACCGTTCGTGCTTAAAACATAAATGACCGTGGCAGAGGGAAATTACTCGAGCGACACGGACTTCTTGCTCGTACAAAATGCACATAAATGTGTACGTATCGGAAACGGAAAAGTTGCGGATCCTACTCGGAATTTCTCACCCACTCTTCGTTAACTCATTGCACGTTCTTTTTTTTATATTGTGCATCGTTTAATTTATCGCACTATAAATTCGCGTTTACAGGACCTTGGATCAATATTTTCGTGCTCGTCCGAAGAAACGATCGCA